AATTTGTTCACAAAGTCACTATTAACTTGTTCACAAAGTTACTAATACCCTGTTCACAAAGTTACTGTTAACCTGTTCACAAAGATACTATTAACCTGTTCACAAAGTTACTATTAACTTGTTCACAAAGTTACTATTAACCTGTTCACAAAGTTTCTGTTAACCTGTTCACAAAGTTACTGTTAACCTGTTCACAAAGTTACTATTAACCTGTTCACAAAGTTACTGTTAACTTGTTCACAAAGTTACTGTTAACCTGTTCACGAAGTTACTGTTAACCTGTTTACAAAGTTTCTGTTAACCTGTTCACAAAGTTACTGTTAACCTGTTCACGAAGTTACTGTTAACCTGTTTACAAAGTTTCTGTTAACCTGTTCACAAAGTTACTATTAACCTGTTCACAAAGTTACTATTAACTTGTTCACAAAGTTACTGTTAACCTGTTCACAAAGTTACTATTAACTTGTTCACAAAGTTAACCTATTCATATACGAATAGTAACTGTTAACCAATGACACATTAATTAGAAGAACTGTACAGATTTCGACCCCTGATATTCGTGTTTAAAAGATACAGGGTTGTTTTTCGCGCGCGTGTGTGTGTGTATTACATATGGAAGGAAAACCATGTGCCTTATGGGATAATTAAAATAATGATGTTCTTTCAAGATACCGTTATTGCTTTTATGTAGTATTTTTCTTAAACAGGCAGCAACATTCCATTAGGACACAAATTATTCTATCATGTTAGTAATATTGGAAGCATTTGATGTGTTTTAGAATTCTCTAGAATACATATATATAAACAACAATTAACAATAGTAATTCTGCAAGCGGATCATATAAAGAATTTTTTTTTTATTTCCAGCTTTTTAAAAACACAACTTAATTAGATTTGTATATTATAAGTACACATTTTAACTTTGTATTGTAAGTTTTTATTTTTTATTTGCCAGCATGGGCTCTTACAACCACGTTTATTATACTCAAGCCAATTATCACAGTGTACTGTATAATATCTCTTTGAAATTTTGTAGAATGATTCGAAAGAGAGTGAGTGTGTTATTGTCTTAGTTACCCCTAATTTAACCCAGTATAGTATGGATGTAATGGGGGGGGGGGTAAAAAAATTGTTTTTCGTTTGAATATAAATTTTGTATAAATACTTTTCAAATGATTTATGACACGGTCACATTTTAAACTAAGTTTCTTATAATAACATTTTATACAAAAGTTCTCTTCGTTTGACGTGATTTTTAGAAGTTTAATAGATGAGACCACGATTTTTTTTTTTTTGTGTTATATAGTAAATAGTTTGAGTTACATACTCTTTTGGCAAGGAAGAAGTCACAAACTATGCCTAGTTTGTGTATGTGTAAATTTTTAAATCGAATTTTTAGTTTAGATTTGAAAGGGTCGCTTAATATGATTTCAACCAAGAAAGCTGAATTTGTTCCGAACTGAAACACGAGGGCAGATAATTTTTAAGTGACTTCAATTTTACCTCAGTTTATTAGTTTTACTATTTACTTTTCATAAGTATATTGAAGCAACAACATAAGAATTTCAAAGTGGAATCAACGGCCATGTTTATTAATTAAAAATATATTAACTATGAAATTCACTTCGGATTGCGTTCGGACTCATGAAGGGCACATTTTCCGAAGATGACGTCAAGATTTACGAATGCAGCGCCATCAGGTGGCTTACATGTTTCGCGCCGATTAAGAGTCTTGCATGTTACGGTGATCGTGGGGTTGTTTCGACCTCGTTGAAAGTGGAAGTTTTATGCAAAGAAGTTGAAAAAATTTCATATTTCGAATTTTTTGTAGTTTATAAAAGTCCTTTTTCATTTTTGATTGTCAATACCAAAATGCGTTAAGATACTTCACAGTTTTGTCCCTTATAGTAAAAGTGGCAGGTAAGTGTTCCTATTACTACTAGTACTAGTACTATTACTTGCATTACTAGCGGTAACGTTGTCGTTACTGTCTGTGTCTCCGTTTGTGTTTGGTTGGTCTAGAACATGGCGACTTGACGTCGACTCCTGAATATGTCGACCGATCTTAAACTTTTTTCTTTAGTTATCTGCCAGAATCATCTCATAGGTCATTATTAAAATGACATTGTGTACAAATTCCCCAATTTTGTAGTGTGGACGTGTTTATCTTTAGTAAAAAGAAAAATCCGTAAGCCTAAGTGGAAGCAAACACAAAACATGGCCGTCAAGACCGGAGTAGAACACAAGAGGGCGCTTTATTCTGCCATTTTGGTCAATATTGTACCGAGAACTTAGGATCTTTGTAATGAGCACTAAAATTATTTATAGATTCATTTTCCTTTACATTTCGTTTCTTAGATTTTTTGTCTTGTTTTGCACGTCTATCATATTTTGTAATATTCAGTTTTTGTAATCATAGGCCTAATTCGTTTTTCAGAATGAATGAAGATCACACAAAGAATGAAGTTTTCTCTGACATAAAACCAACATCACAATCTCTAGATAAACCCAAGAATGACATCAAGTCTTCTGAGTCGACAAACAATGATATTCAAGGCATAGAAACAAAGGAAAATACCAGTGGTGCAGAGTGTCTTGTCAAAAAAGACCATCATCAAGGAGGAGTTGTAGAAACTTCAACAAAAGAGCTGAGTGGAGATTCTTGTCAGTTGCAAAATAGTGATTATTTTGCTAATGAGTCAAACAATTCAGAAGAACATAAAGATCAGTATGATTCTTCATCAAAAGATCCACATTCAAGTAATTCTCATGATAGAACTCCTGCATCAGGAGATATAACAGATCAAGACAGCAGAGAAAACACAGCTGGTTATGCTTGGAAGATATTAGATGCTGTTCATGGAGACGACCAGTCTGGTCAAAATAGTATAGCATCAGCAGATGAAGATGCTGTTCTGGCTGACGTTGATGAAATCTCTCAAGACAGAATCTCTGATCCAGACTGTAATAGTTCCAGGGACATCCCTGATTTGACTGAAAACACACAAAGCACAAATGATGCCTCAGATTCAGAAAGAGTAATGCCTAACCTTGAAAATAATAATTCTAACCACAGTTTAGATGACAAAATGGAAGATTACAGAGAAACAACCAAAGATGCTGTGATGGAAGAGTTATCACACAGTTCAATGAACTTATCAGACAGTGGTGCTACCAAAGAACTAAGTGGGAATGATGACCAGGTTGTTGACGGTGTCAGTTCTTCAACCGAAGAATCCCAAAATAAAGATGAACCAATGGATGTTGATTCACATGAAAAATCGGGCGAAATAGATCCCATGGAAAATACCTTGGTGATCTTGGAGACAAAAAGCCTTTCAGAACAAACTAAAAGTGATACCAGTGTTGATATTGATAGCACACCCGAAATGTGTGTTACCATGATAGCATCGAATAAAGATAAAGAACAAAAAATCATTCATACAACAGGTTCGCAGTCTTCATCTGTGGTTGCTGGTAAAGGTGAACAAAGTGATAAGACAAAACTTGCAAAGGAAAACACTTTAGAAAATAGAAAAAATATTGAAAGTTGTGGTACTCTGAGTGCAGAAAAAACTTCAGAATCTAAAACAAGAGGGCGTGATACTGATGATAAGGTTTCTGGAGCTGAAGAGAGTACAGCAAATGATACCGAGACCAAGAAGTTACCAGAAACCAAAGCTAACACTGAAGAGCCCAGTGGGTCAGAGGGAGTATCCGATTCCATTGAAAAAGGGAAAACTGAATCGCAAAGTGAATCGACCGGAAAAGTGAGTAGGAGGGTCTGTGATTTTTAGATTGAATGCTGTAATATAATTATTATTTTTTTATTTGAAGGAGTAGAGAGTGTATGAAAAGGTCTTAACTCTTTATAACATAAATAATATATACTTATATTAGGCTAGAAAAACATGAAATTATTATGGAAATTTTATCTTGTGAAAACCTTTTTTTTTGTGTATGTAATAATATATAAATATAATAATTTCTACACATTACATTTATGTTTCTAATAATGTTTTAAGTTTTATATGAATTATTAATGATATTGGAATTCTATTTAAAAAAAAACATGAGAATCAGACATAAACACGGGTGTGTGTGTGTGGTTCTCCCTTTGCATGTCTTGAATTTCCTGACTAGTAATATGAAGAAAATATATAAAAGATGATGTATTTTGTATCAAAGATAATTATCATGAACTTAAGTGATTATATGAGCAGGAAACAGGATCATAAGAAGGCATATGTCAATATAAAATACATAACAAAGTTTGAAGTAATGTAAAACATTTGTGTATAAATATATATTGTTGTAGCATTGTTCCTAGGTTTTGTAGTTTAAGGAACCTGTCTTTTTTTTTTAAGAAGTAAGGAGACACATAGTTTTCCATATTGAGAGGTACAAAGAATGACAGATATATTTTGTTGATGGAATAGAATAATGTTAACTTTTTATTAGTTACCCTTCTACGTTAAACAAAGGATTGTTACAATGCTACTACACCTTTTAAGTTTCTAAAGTGAAACCGTAAGTAATCTGTGTGGATGAGGCACATTAAGTGCAAGAAAGTTAGCTGTGTTGAAACCGGAATGTCATGAATGGGTGCATCGTGAAGTACTAATAATAACATTGTAAGTAGTTCAGAGGTGCTCTTGGGTTATATTAGTACAATAGTTTTTTTGTGTGTATTTCATTACTCATCAGTACTGCTGGGCATTTGGTGGAATGAATCTAGGTAATAAAAACAGAAAATTACACAAACAGGTAAAAAAAGCATCTTGTAAAACACTATCAATAACAGCTAAGCCTAAGCCAATTATTTAAACCTCGTAAAACAACTGAGTTAATAATTAAGCTGTTATTAATACAGTTTTCCAAATCAATGGCTTCTCCTTGTTGGTAAACACCTACTGTTCTGTTTATCCTTTCTAATAATTTGTTTGAATTGTACATCTATATCACTTTTTTTTTTCCCGTTATCTTTTATTACCACTACTGTAGTGGAATATGTAATCAGTCATTGTATTCATGAATTGATCACACTCAACTGATCAATTATTCTCACATGGAAATTGGATAGTTGGAACAATTAAATAGAGTAATAATCAGAACCACTAATCTTGATTATTCTTGTGATATGAATCAATTATTTTATGTATAGTTAATAGATGCTCATAGGAAATCGATTGATGCTTTATGTTTTTAGTAATGCCAAAGTCAACATAGTATATTTAGCTTTGCATATTTTTACCAGTCATTCCCACGAGAGAGAGTAGATGTCACCAAAGGTTAAGATCACTGCCAAAGTCAACATAGTATATTTAGCTTTGCATATTTTTTACCAGTCTTTCCCATGAGAGAGTAGATGTCACCAAAGGTTAAGATCACTGCCAAAGTCAACATAGCATATTTAACTGTTCATATTTTTACCAGTCGTTCCCACGAGTGAGTAGATGTCACCAAAGGTTAAGATCACTGCCAAAGTCAACATAGCATATTTAACTGTTCATATTTTTACCAGTCGTTCCCATGAGAGAGTAGATGTCACCAAAGGTTAAGATCACTGCCAAAGTCAACATAGCATATTTAACTGTTCATATCTTTCCCATGAGAGAGTAGATGTCACCAAAGGTTAAGATCACTGCCAAAGTCAACATAGCATATTTAACTGTTCATATCTTTCCTATGAGAGAGTAGATGTAACCAAAGGGGAATGACCGAGGACAATGTGTAACTAGAACAAAAGTATTTTAGCTCTTTGAGGACCAGTTCTCTGCTGTTACCTTTATCCGTATGCCAGAATGTGCATGTGAGTAAAATTATGAAAACTCTCAGGATAAACTGTAAAATCCCCAAAATGTTCCTCACTGTCATTGGTATAAAAGTCAGGAGAACTATTCATTAACCCTGATTCACACTATCATTTTGCATGTGTAACATGAATGTTATGATTTAACACAAAAAACAATATTCAAGAAACACTTTCTGCCACAGAGGTTAAAATTAGGAAGCTTTTTCTCTGGTTTTCAATCTAGCAGTGGAAGTGGTATGAAAGTAAAAGTTTTTTTTTCAAATGGAATTCCTACTAATCGGTTTATTAGAATTTCACTAGACTATGTTTTCTAAATCTCATTGGCAAAGCTTATTTCTTTCTTTTATCTTTACTCTCTGAATTTATTGTTTGAAACAGTGTGCCTATCACTTTAATAACCAGTAGAGGAACTCAGTTTGTATGTGATGTGTTCAAAACCGTTACCGAGGAATTGAGTGTAACATAACATCCTTACAGCTATTTATCGTCCACAGATGAATCTCTGTCAAAGGTTTAATCGTATTTGAAAAATTGTGTTAAGATATTTCGTCCAGTTGAAATCCTTTATCTCAATTAGCATTTACTTGGAAAAGTACTCTTCATGTCAGTACTGGTGAATTCCCTTTGTTTTCTTATTCTGTGGGAGAAATTTGACGTTTTTTGTGGTGCTAGTGAAGCTACTGGTGATGAATCTGGTACTTATGTTATAGGCATCACTTCTAAAAAACTTTTAAAGACACTCTTATTCCTTCATCTTATAACAATTAGATAAAACTTGTGGTTCTTCGCTTTGAAGTTAGTTCTTATTTATTATGATCAATTTTGAGTTGAGAAAAAAAAAGTGAGAGGGTAGCTCAGACGGTGTTACTAATACGTTACCTTATTACACTTCGGAAAATTATGGTATTCCAGAAAATCCTATTTTTTGAACAATCTGTAGAGAATACCGTTAATCAATCTGATATCTCAGATTTTGAGTTGTTGTATTTGTTTGATTGCAGCTCGCTAGTGGGGCCTAAAGATGATTGTACAAACATTTCAACTTAATTTTCCACTCATTTATCATCCTTTTCTCGCTTGGATGTCACCAAAATACGGTCATCTTCAATCATCTCCTCCATCTAATCATGATGATAGTTATCTTCTTCATCCTCATAACTACAACAGAATGATCCTCTTAATTTTGGACACTCTCATACCTTTCTGATAGACAGGATTTGCAGCTGTTGTCCAAGGATAGTTTTTCCTAGTGAAGAGGGTGGCATTATTTCAATCTTTGAATGCAGGTGTTTGTTGGTGGCATATAATCATAATGTGACATCTATTAGCCGATTATCATGTAGAGCTGGATGATTTAATTGGTTACCTGTAATACCAAAATTACAATTAAATCAATTAATTGAAATTAGTTTTCCTTATTATCATTGTTTTTTGATCATTCCAACAATTGATTAATTAAAATTCCAATTATATCGATTATCATAAAAATAACGAACTAATCACAATTAGTGTTCATGATTATTACTGTTGCTGGTAATTCTAACAATTAATTGAAATTATGAATAAATGGATTGTTAAGAAAATAATCAACTGATCAAAATTAAGGTATTTTTGGTTATTCCAACTGTCTTAAGTAATTCTAATGTTTTTATATTTGTTAAGCATAAAGCCATATAGTGAGGTTGTTTGTGCACTGCCAGATTTTAGCCCTATAACCTTTTTTTTTTCACTTCAAGTTTGTTCAGCTTTGACAATTTGGGAAATTAAATAAAAGGTTGAACAATTGCCAAGTTTTTTTAAAAGAAGGATGATGTTTCAAGCTAACGATCTTCATCAGATCAACCAGTTTGGTTTGGTTGTAAACTGTACGATATGATGAAGAGCACCAGCTCGAAACATCATCCTTCTTTTAAAAGTCTATAAAAAAAACTTGGCAATTGATCAATTTATTATTTAATTTTTGTTATTTTTCATTGCCTGTGCAGTTTTAACTATATTTGTCTTTTGATAATTTGGGAACAACTTACTTGTCCTTTGTTATGGCAAAGCCAGTACAGCCATCTGCCGCTGTCACTAAATCTGAACTGCTGACTATAGGGAAGGAAACTAACCGGCAGCAACCTGATCTGACTTTTTTTGTTTTTTTCTCTTGCTTGTACTCACCAGTACTAATTAGTTAAATACAATTAATTAACAAGACCATCAATTAATAGATTATCACATACAACTAATCATTGCCAAGCTCGGTTAACAAGTACGTTGTGCATTACACACAAATAACGTACGAGTTGCACTTTAACAGTAGCCTTTGTGTATACTACTGATATTTTGTGCAACCTTTTCCAAAAGCCTAAATAATAACGTAACTCAACAGTCACGTGATACTGTGTTTTATTCTGTAACATGAACGAGTGATTGGTTTGTTGTGTAAGATATTGTAATAATATCCAGGTATACTTAATTGCCGAGATAGATAAAAGCTGGTTAATAACGTGTGCAGGATAGCTGTCCCTTGTACAGCCTGTATCATGTATATTACAGTCAACAATCTACAGGTGTGTGATATTAATGTTAATAACGAGTTGGGTGTAGCAAGGTAGTACTTAGTTATGTAGTAGCCATAGTTTTATTGCCTTCAATGCTCAATACGTTAGTGTCACTTGTTCAGTTTAAGTGAATTATTTATGTTTTTTTACGTATAAATAAACAGTTCCTGGAAATCCACAATTTCTCTCTATTGATTTAAGGCTAACTTAGAATTTTAAAATGTTAGGTCTTAGGTCAGAAAAATCTTTGTCATTTTATGCAGTGTTTTTTATGATTTATAGCCAGGAGTGGTGATTATTGCAATTAGCAAAATCAAGAGTCAAAAGATCTGTATTAATAAAATCAGTAAAGTTGAAATTGACTGTATATATATAAAATTGTTTAATTTTTGTTAAAAATTGTCTCACA